CAAAGTTCTCTGTTTCCTGAGGAACTTTCTACTATCCACACACCTTTGTCCGCAGGGACCATGCAAGTAAAAAGTTGCAGATTACATCCGGTAGGGGGCGGTGTGCCCATAATCTCCCACGAGTTCCAGGGCTTTTTCTGTAGCCCTGGAGATTTTACAGAAGCCATGTGTTTACAGAAACCTCTCACAGATTAAAGAAATAAATAAACAACAATTCAGCTATCTCCCTCCTCAGATCACTCACAAGCTATGAGTAATCTCCACTAACCAAAGCACAGTAATTGGGGCCCTAATAACGAAGACAAAACCATCTGACCATTTTTAATCTCTATGATTTAAAACACAACCAGCTCATTTTTTAAAGATTCATCTGAAGGACCTCATTTTTAAAAAAATACATCCTCATTTTTTAAAAAAGCAATCAAATGCACTCACAGGTTGAGTGGCGAATCTGCATTGTTGAATCGGGAACCATTAATGCAAAGTTGAACGTCTTGCCCTTTATAAGAAGAGATCAGTTAAAAAGGAAAAAGTAAATTCTGTACTACCCACTTCTTTCCCATCTCCACCCACTTCTTCCCTCCATTTGGATTTTTAAAATATGTTTCGTAACTATTTATGGAATGGCAGTTATTTTTTATGTACTAGATTTAAGATATCAGAGGATTCGGTTTGTATTAATCATTGGTTCACACTGTTCACAGCCCAGAAGTGAACAGTCATCATGAAACACACAAACCATGTCGCATCACGGGGCCCTGAGGCTAGCCCTGCTGTTCTCACATGGGGGCAGAGAGACCTCACAGAGAATCAATAAAGTTCAGTGTCTTATAAGTTTATAAATCAATAAAGCTGGAAATGGTCCTTGCATTTCCCAGATAAGAAAGAAATGTGATGTCCAAAGAGGTCAAAGTGATTTTTTTCAAGAGACCACAACCAGTTAGTGACGAAACAGTCTAGAATCCAACACTTTGGACCTGTTTCCTGTATTATGCACTTCATCTTGTGGACATCATTTATTGCTCTTCTTAAAGTGTCAGCAAGCAAGCGATGATATCTTAAAAGCATCTTCTTTGTGCCCGGATGTTTTAAAGGTATGCTAACAAGGCCAGGCAAACACCAGGTTGCCTTGAATAACACCTCTCTAAGAAGCCAGCCAGGCTTTCAGTTCCTTAAGGCTGTCACGCTGGCACCTTTTAAAAAGTGCTTGTGAGAAAGATCATCAAGGAAGAAAGTAAAATCCATCCTTAGTGGCTATCGCGTGTGTCAGCATACATCCTATTCATTTCTCCTATAATTATTTACTGGGTGGGGTAAGAGGCAGGACGTGTCATTATATTAGGAAGTTATTTGTCCCTTGAATCTAAAGATATGCCTACAGTTCCCATTACATCAGAAGGAGGATGTAAACACTAAAAGCGATGCTCAAATAACAGAGCTTAATAACAATGGCACTTAAAGCTTATAACACCTTTCAGGGTGGATTTCAAAGTACTTGACAAATGTTCATTATATTTCAACACAGTATTATGCTGAAGGAGCAACATGTTGTGATTTCTTTATTATAAGTCAGAGAAAAGAAAGATAATTGCTTTTTTAAGTCTTTTTTTTTATCCCTATCATTTTTGTTTTTAATGATGCCTAATTTTGTAAATTAACTGAATAAAGTGATTGGCTTTAAGGGATTAGAATTTGCAAGTCCTGTGCCCATTTAGAGGAAACACTCTGTGGGCTTTCTGACATAAAATTCACACCAAGGACCCTCGTGAAGCATCATCTGAAATTCCAGGTCCGGATGTGTGAAGCAACCCACCAGAGAATGTAGCAACTTAAAAAAATTTATGGAAGCTTTAATTCTTCCCTGGACTGTCATTATTAAATATTAATCCAGGAATTCGAGTTTGGGACGAGGTAGGAGGATGGGTGGGAGGGAATTAGCAAGGGAGGGAGAAGACAAAGACTGTTTAAATAGTTATGATTTTTATTTGAAATCGGAGAACGAGTCCCTACTTTTAAGACTTGAATTGTCATGATAATTAAGGACTTCGGATATTTTATATTACATCTAATGGGTTTTGACTTCGAAAGAGCTTAGAGGGGTGTGTCAGCAGAGGCGGCGTTCGCTGCAGCCCCCCAGGGTACTCAGCCGCATCACAGAAGGTTCGGTACCTCTCGACAGTGTGCAGCACCCTGGGACAATTTCCTCACTCTAAAAAGGTCAATGAGATGATGTCGATGGAGCTTGTTGAGCACAGCCCCTGGGAGTTTTAAAAGAGGGTTGGCTCAGCTAGGAAGGGTGCTCTTTTGCTGTCTCTCCAATGCCTTCTTCTTCCTGCCTGGAATGGGGACATGGCAGCTGGAGTTCTAGCAGTCATTTTGTATCTCGAGGTAGATCTTGAGACAGGTAAAAGAAACATGCACTTTTGATGATGGTATTGCTGTCTTACATGCCCTGAACATCCTGTCTTGAGATTTCTTTTATATAATACTTGAGTTTTTCATTATTTATTCACTAATAAAGCCAACTCGATGACCTTTAGAGTTTAAGCAACTGCACTTTCTCTTTAAAACTGCCTTTGTTTCTTGAAGAAGTACGGTCAGTACTGCTTTCCCTGAGCTTATAGAATAGGTCCACTAAGGCCCCCATGTCACATAAGTCCAGAGGACACCATGTGTATTGTGGGCCAGTGGACACCTTTCACTTAGACTACAGTGTGAGTAGGGTCCACTGGACCTGCGTTCCTCACCACCCCTACCCAGCTCTCATGGAATTCTCTGGTTCTTTTTGATCTTTTTGGAGTTACATCCTCAAAGAGACAAGTGAAAAAAGTGATTTTTACATTCAAGTATTGACCAAATAATCACTAATACAATCTGTGGCTTTATAATCTCATTAGCAGCTAATTCAGATGAGATTTCTCCAACTTTTAAGCCAGGGATGATTTTGGCAGGTAAATAAATATCATGAACCATCTATTATACCTCTTTCCACAGCAG